CCCCCCCCCCCCCCCCCCTATACCTGACCCTTGCGCCACTCCTGCCTTGCCCAATTTCTCTTCAAAAGTTTACAAATTATAAATTTTGTGCTGTTGACATGAAGTGCTCCTCAATTTTAAATTTCAAAACATTCCTCCTGTGCTATGGTGACTAGCACTACTGTACTATAAAAATGTCAACTGCATGTAAGAGATTCAGAAGTTAGTTTCCCAGATGTTGACACAATACTTAATCTGAATGTATGTATACAGCACAAAATTGAAAAAGTTGTTAGGAGGCTCATCACCAGAGGTGAACACTAGGGGTCATGAGAGAAACTCTGAAAGCCTCCGAAAGCTTTTTCAACTGTAAAAAATATTGATAGCCTATAAATTAAGCTATATATTGTATGAAATTTAAGGCAAAAAAAGGTTGAATAACTAACATTTCCAGCTATTGTATCTGCAAAATTAAACTATTGATAATTATATTAATCACTTTTGTCATTATTAAATACAATATGTCATTATTAAATACATTTAATATAAAATATAATCTTTACATAAATTAAGAGCCTTTGATGAAATTGATATAAAATCAATAAAGTATGTCAATATATATTTTATAATATACTATATCTAATATAATATTATGTATGGCATGGACTCCTCTTGCATTGAACAGACACTCATGACTTATTCACGATCAGGATTTTCTCATTTGTAATTGAAAGATTCAAGACATCACTCACAATTTTTGTAGATTTGTACAATTAACGGTACAGTCTTTCTCGCATAGCCTTTCGTCTGTCTTTGTTTATACTTTGTATATAAAATCTCGTATAAACTATAAAATGTCCCTTTGACGACTTCAATCTTTAAATAGTCCAATGCTCAATTTTGTGCAGTTTTTTAATACATTGTGACACAACATCCAACATATTTTGTATTAAAAATCAAATTTCCATTGATAGACAGCAGATTTCAACGACCAAAACGACTCTTCGTCTTCTTTGAAGAGTTAATACACTCCTATGTACTCCTTATAGTCAGCCATATTTATTTGTACAAGTTCGTGTTCAATTTCCGCATTCCATTGTTTTCATGCAACCAATCAAATCACTTATCGTTTTGGTTTTCTCCAGGGTCTCCGGCAATGCCGTGTCAGCCGTGAGACCCTGGGACCGAGGATGAGTACACTCAGGAGAGACGGACTTGATCCAAGTCTTGGCTAGTGCATGCATGCTAGAACAGACGCTTGAGATATTGTACCGATTTCGGCAATTTGGCTCGAACATAAGATATCCTCTTGAACATGCAACATAGCACTTTACGTCACCCATTTTTCTTCATAAAAAAATTACGTACTATAATTGCATTTGTAACCAAAACGCTTCCCTCGTATTCTTCAAACATTTCTCTCGTGTATTATCACCACATAAACGCACGCAACTCGTTTTCTTTCCAATCAGATGCAAGAAAACATGCATGAACTTTGACACTTGATATATAATAAATTATAAAACACATTTATTGGAATTTTATCTCGACATCGCCAACTCTGCAGGAAAATTTTAACGATGAATGACGACGGTATGCATAAGCTGCGGTCAGTTTGATCAGCTGTAGAAAAAGGCTACAAAATCTAAGGAAATGTGATTTAAAATCTACCTTCAATGCTTCTGACGAAAACTGCTATACCATTTATTTTCGGCGAATGACGTATTATACACTGAATAATTAAAAAAATAAAACCGAGCAACCCGACGGAAACCTCGAATTTCACAACTTTCTTCGTAAATCCATCTGGCTTGCAGATGCTGAAACACTGGCAAATTATATTGCGGATCAGCGTTTTTATTTCTAGCATTTTAAACTGCCTGTCTCAACTTTTAATTTAACATCAAAATTTTGTATTTCATTGAGGAGAATTTCAAAATCGATATTTTGACAGAATTGTATACCATGTAATCACTTCTAGCTACTTATATTATTAAAGAAAAATTGGTCTCGTGCGTCTGGGTGTAATAATGCACTTGGTGAGTGTTGGGAGAATATGCGAGAAGCATGTAAAACATTCGGCTTTTCCTCGTTCCGATGAGATCATTAATTTTGTGTTTAACGTTCTGGGGCCGGTAGTATAAAATAGTGATTAAAGTTAATTATAGTTAGTGGAAATGCCATCCAATAAGAAGCGCGTATTTGAGAGTTAATCACCATTTACTTACAAAATAGTGAATAAAAAAGTGATTAAGAGTTTTATATAACCGGCCACTCAACGTTGCACATGCAGAATATCCAGCTGGACCGACCGTACACAGTGTTCGGCATTAACCCATGTGTTTTTGGTATTCCAGTATCTTTTTCAAGTTTTACTCGATACAGTTCTGCAGATATTTTGGTTTTGCCAAAAACATGTAAATAGAAAGATAAATTCGGCGAATTTCAAGCTGATTAGTTTTACGCGTGGTTAATTAATTTTACACGATAAAATTACATTTTTCCTCGACATCGGTCTAGTCTGGATAAATTTCTATTTCAAAAACTTTATAGTTTGTTTATATTTTTGGCTAAAAAGGAGAGATAAAGCTGGGAAAGCGTACCACCAGGAAGACCAAGGCATTGTCATAGACTACAGTGCATTATTGCGTAATAATTCACGCGCATTAGCCAATCAAATTGCGTCTTTTTTCATTTACATTACAAAGGAATATATTTCTCACTTTTTATGATTTAGCCACAACACAGTCAATGCATCTTCCAAAATTAGCGGCGATGGTATCCGTGCTGTTTCAATGGAATATAATACAAATGAAGAATTTGCTGGAGAAGCAAAAGAAAATAGCACAATGAATGAGCAAGAGGGCAGAAACACTGAGATAGATCTAGTGGAAGTATATGACGACAGAGTGAAAGAAGAAAATTCCAGTTCAACAGACGATTTAGGTGACGAAATAATCCAAGATGATGTCGCCTTCAATATTGGCTGCGAAGGTCATGTACGAAGTTTGATCGCTAAGTTTTCTTCTCTTAAAGCGGTAAAATGTGACTTCGTGATATAATGAATGCATTCAGACATTCTACACATGTCAGGCTTCTACTTAGAAATGCTGATTTTTTATGATTTAAATATATATATATAATGACATGGGCGGCGCAACATGGGGACTAGCTAGGTGGGCAATAGCTCCAAGAAATAAAAGTGGGCATGGGGGAGGTAAGGCAATTTTTCGTTCCGTAACCGTACCGCCAGTAACAATCGGTGTAGCTACATCCGGTGAATATAAAATGAGATGTTCACCACGCGAAACATGCATTTAAACGTGCGTGTTGTGCTGATATCGATTATAATGTTTTATATATTTATTCCTTTCGCTATCTGAATCGTTACAGATTTTCAATCCTGTCTCTGAATAATGTATTTTGTCCTTGCCTTATCTTAAACCACACCCCTTACTTATATATTAACTAATTAACTAATTGTATTAATATCGACACTATACACTACATCCCTCCCTTTCTTTTTGCTTGCGTCATTCGTCCTTCATAAACAGCACAAAACAACAAAATATGATTATGTATATATATATATATATATATATATATATATATATATATATATATATATATATATATATATATATATATATATATATATATATATATATATTCTTCAATATCACTGTTTGGAATATCCTAGTCTTCACAATGATCATCATTCGTAGTGGATCCACAAGTGGACGGTCGCGTTATCTTCTTAAAATGTGATGAATTTCTTGTTATCTTGTGTTTGGCATTTTCAGCTGTAATCATGCTGCCTTTCATGGCAGCTATGTGGTATGGTATGGTATGAGGTTGTTGTACGACGAGAATTTGTTACGCTTTCACTGTCGTACTAGCACATCATCTCCAGTCTGAAGTGTAGCTGGTTTCGCATTGTTTCTGTCATCGGCATATTCTTTCATTTTTCTTTTAGCGGTCGCATCTTTACACCTGAGGTCACAATCAATAACATTTTGGGAAACTTCTGGCAATTTTATTCTCATCTTTCTTCGAAATAATAGTTCCGAGTGTGTTTTGTCGGTACTTGTGTGCGGAGTTGCGCGATAGTTGCGCAGGAAACGATACAGCTGTTGTTTCCAATTGAGCTGCTCAGTGTGTGCCGTGATAATTGCTTTGTTTAAAGTTCGCATGAATCTCTCGCATGCTTCGGCATTTGCCTTGGGCCACAGTGGAGTAATCTTTCGGTGGGTCTTCTGAAAATTCCTTAAATTCTTGACTATTAAAAGGGGGTCCGTTATCAGTTTTTAATTTCTATCGGAATGCCATGGGTAGAAAGAATCTTGTGAAACTTTGGCATTGTTGCCTTTGTTGAGGTGGAGTTCAGAATTTCTACTTCCGTATACCGAGAATCTTCATTAATAACTACGAGTAGATAGTCACCGATTGGTAGGGGTTCACAAAAATCTGGTAGTTTCGTCATTTGTAGAGGTTCGTGATGTTTTGTGGGTGTCGCTGCTTGACATGGTACGCACTTTTTAATCATTGATTTTGCTTGAGCGTCTATTCCAGGGAACCAAACTTTCTCTCTTAACAGACGTTTAGTTTTTACCAAACCCTGATGTCCTTCATGGGCAAGTGATAACGCATGTGAACGAAGGGGTGCTGGTAGAATGATTCGGGTTCCCTTCAGAAGCAAATCATTTTCAATGGATACTGTTATTTCATTACGAAGCTTGAAGTATGCATTCATTTCCTGTGGGTCGACGCCAATGTTCCCTTGGATTGGAGTAACAGTCCAGTTCCCTGTTCGGATTGCTTTGGTAAGGTGTTGTAATGTTGGGTCGTTGACTGTCGCTGTTTTGATATCATCGAGGGATATTGCCTTGGGAGTGGCATGCTGTGCGACAAAGCATATAGATTCGTCTGCTATCTTGGACTACTGGTTTGATGGTGAAGATGGCTGTGGGTGGCGGGACATGTAATCACCTGGGTTTGATTTCGCCGGCTGATATTTAACAGTGAAGTCATATCGCTGAAGTTTCAGTGACTATCGTTCAAGACGTGCTGAACATCGAGATCGAGGATTTGCATGGATTTGCTAAAGAGGTTTATGATCCGTAATCACTGTAAAATGAGAACCGTCGACATATAAATGGAAATGTTCACATGCCTAGAGAATAGCGAGAGATTCCCTTTCGGTCTACGAATATTGTTCTTCAACAGGGTTTAACGCACGACTAGCAAAGGCGATAACTTTTTCTTCTTTCGTTTTGGAATTTTTTTGCATGAAAATTGCGCCAAGACCTATAGGGCTGGCATCGACATCAAGGTGGAGACGCTTTTCGGGTTAAAATATGATATGGTTTTGTCATCGGTAAGGTGTTTCTTTAATGTGTCCAGAGGCGTTTGGTGTGCTGATGTCCATAGCCAGGTGGCGTTTGATTCGGTGAGTTGGCGTAGAGGTTTAGTTATGGTTGAATAGTTGGGGATGAAACGTGAACAATAATTAGCCATCCCGAGTAGACTTCTCACTTCCGTTGGATTCTGTGGAGCACTGATTTGTTGGAAGGCTTCGACTTTCTTTGGATCTAGAGACACGCCGTCATTAGAAAAGATATAACCATAAAATTCTATGGATGGCTTGTTGTATTCACATTTAGTCGAGTTGAGGGTTAAGTTCATTTCTTGCAGGCGTTGGAGGACCGCTTCCAAAGCATGGTTATGTGATTCCTGATCGCTGCCATATATCATCACTTATGTTTCGTGCAGCTGGTATGCCCTCTAGGATTTGCTGTATGGTTGCTTGAAAAACTTCCGCTGCTGAGGTAACTCCAAAAGGCAATCTTGTGTAGCGTCGCAGACCTTTGTGTGTAGAAAATGTTGTTATGTACCGTGATTCAGGCGCAAGTTCTAGCTGGTGATAGCCTTGGTTTAGATCAAGCTTGGAGAAAACAGTTGCTCCATTTAAGTCGTTAATAAGGTCATCGATACTGGGTGTGATATGTCGTTCTCTCTCTATCGCTTTGTTGGCAACGCGCATGTCAACACAGAGGCGTACCTTTTCAGGATTTTTTGGTTTGGGTACCACAACTAGTGGAGACATCCATGGGGTTTGACCATGTACTTTTTCTATTATGCCTTCATATTCTAATCGTGTTAATTCTTGTTCAAGTCTCTTTCGAAGGTGAAACGGGATTCTTCGGTGTGGTTGGGCACTAGACGTAACAGTTTCATTGATGTGAAGATGAACTTGACAGCCTTTTAATTTTCCAACTCCATGATATCGATCATTGTATTTGTCTGATAATTGTTTCAGTTTGTTTTCTTCTTGAACTTCCGGTTGCTGATTTTCTGTTGCACTAATAGTTAACTTATAAGGTTTAAGGCTAAGGCCATAGAATAAAGATCCATATAGAAGGGCCACTTACGTCGGAAGCTTTGAAGTTTCTGTCCTCGCGCATGTCGCATTACGCATGTTGGCCGCCATTTTCCTAGCCAGTCAATGACATTTTCTGGCCAATAAACACGCTGTACTGGCTGGCTGCTCCGCCTTCTGTCCAGTAAACTGCATATTTTTGCATAAAAAAACGAGGACACGTTGCACCCCTGAGTGGCCCTTCTATATGGATCTTTATTCTATGCTAAGGCTGTCTCGTAGCTAAGCAACGAACCACATGTCCCTTGCATTACATACTGAGTCGACGATTCTATTTCGACGTCAAATTTTCCAACGATAGGCAGAGGTGTTTTCGCGCCGTATCTGTATACCTTTGTGTTTGTCTTATATAAAGTAATGGGGGACTGATTTGTCTTGCGTGAATATTTTTGCATTCGTAAAAGGGCGTGTTCGTCAATAATGTCAACACTTGAACCGGCGTCGATCATAATTTCTGTTGGCATGTTTCAGATTTTTACGTGAACTTTGAGGCTTTTAACTTTGGATTTAATTGCATGTGTTTTTATATTCCAAGCGAAAATATGTATTCGTCGTCAGAACTCGAATCTACCGGGTGTTGGTTGCTCTGCTCGATTTTATTTGCGCTTGTAGTATCTTGTTTTTGTCGCTGCGTAGTATTTTCAGCTTTGGCATGATTGACACTATTATCGCGTTTAATATTTCGATTTGTAGACCGGCAACAACGAGCGAAGTGGTTCATTTTCTGACACAATCTAAAAGCTTTCCCTTTTGCCGGGCATATTCCATCTACAGCAAATGAGGATAGTTGTTTCCACAATTGAAGCATTTTCGTTTGCTTTGCCGATGTCGCAGTGGACAGTTAATAAAATATGATTCAATGATTAAAGCTATATGTACCATACAAAATGAGTCGGGTATTTAGATTAATTTGTTGTTGGCAATCAGATATAAAATATATCGTATTAGTTGTTGGTGTTGCTCGTTTTGTTAATGTTTTTACTGTTGAAACTGCGCTTTTGCATTCATTGCGAATATTGTGTATTACTATTTTTGCACAAGTGAACATAACAAATCCTACACGTTGATTGGTCAAATTTTACGTATTAATCTGTTATATTCACCTACAGGTGAATATAACAAAATCAAAACTTTCAAAATGGCGGCTAGCCGTTTTGTTGAAGTTAGTGACAAAGAAATAAGCGAAATTAAAATGTATTCAGACCAGAAAACACAAAAAAGCTTGTGCAAAAATACTAAAACAATTATTCGCCTCAGGCTCGGTAATTACCAGGGGATATTCACCTCGACTTCTTCTCGGCGAATTTTCCCCGATAATCACCTCACTTTCGGCGAATAATTGTTAAATAATATTCTAGACGATAATCGCGATATGGTTTTTTAAGTATCAGTTTGGGACGCGCGTTTGAAAGCGTGTTTCGCGTGGTGAATATCTCGTCTCATATTTACCAGATGTAACGCGTGCTGAAAATGATGACACTGATTGTCACTGGTGATCCTGGCGGTTCACGAAACGAAACGAAAAGGATCAAAGTAAAACAGTAAAATGAAGTTTCGAGATTGCTGCATGAAATGTAAGGGGCCATTCACAAAGGATGTCCGGCCAAATTATGGATTTTCAGACCCCCCCTCCCCCCTTGTCCGGCATTGTCCGAATTAGTGACCCCACTCCCCCCGGACAACCGCCATGCCTCGCAAAAACTCACACAACCTTGTATATATCAAGAGTAAAATATTTTTTTTTACTTTTAGAACTTTTTATAACTGTAAATGTGAACACAAAAACATATAAATTACTAATTAAAACAAAATCTAGTGTTAACCGCATAGTCAAAATGCCAATTTCACAATGGGAAGGACTGCTCAAAATAGAGGGAAAAAGAAATTTGTTTTGGAATTTTTTTAAATTTCGGACATCCGGATTGCTAAATCCCCCCCCCTCCCCCCTATGTACCAGTTTGTCCTGATTTTCCAAACCCCCCTCCCCCCACCCCTTGGCTCGGACATCCTTTGTGAATGGCCCTAATGTGAACAAAATTAGCGACATTATGGTCAATGATTGACGTACACCTAAAGTGAATTTGAACTGGGATATAGTTTTCGCCAAGTAGTTAAATTGATGTTAATTTGCTGTCGATTTCAGCCCCCACTATGTCCTCTAAACTGATCAAATCCAATTACGAAGCATTTTTTGCAGCGTTTTTTTTTAGTTTTTTTTTTATAATGTTAGTAATTGCGTATAGTCAGTTTACATTTAGCTGAGAACCACGACATCCACTACTTAGCTGAAAATTGACCCTAAATAAAAACAGTTTCGCCGCCACTTCACAATGTTAATCATATAGTTTATCAATTTTATAGGATCTAAACACATAAATATTTTAATTGACGTTTACCATTCAATAGATGTCTGTAATATTAATTTTGTTGTTTATTCAATCATTTGTACATAAAATTGCAGCAATTTATTCAAGTTTTCGTAATAATAACTAAATGTGATGTGAATATTCATACGGTTGAATTTCAAAAGTGTTGTTTTCTACGTCCTTCTTTTCACACCTCTTTTCATTAGTTTTGCAACCATTATGAAGTGTTAACGTCCCGACAAAGGGCCTTGTCTCCAAACGACAAAGTTCTGCATATATATTTTATCAATTTGTATAAATAGTGCTATTTATTCTCATTGCTACCTACACTGGTGCAGACCGTTTTCAAGAGTGCATGGACAGACTTCAAGCGGCCATATTGGGGCCATGGTTCTGACATTACAATCAACTGAATCGAGATATGAATTCAGTGATTTCCAAATTGCAAACCCTGTGCGATATGATTGACATGACATATTTGACTTGTTCACTGATTCTTAAGAAATAAAAGTGTCCAAACGTTGGGTCGCGAATGCAAGTCTTTTCTTAAAATTAACTTTACAATCAAATGACTGATGGTAAGGACAACAGAACGTGACGGTCCTTAATAGAGTCCCAGGAGTCCCGGAGTCGGAGTCCCGGAGTCTGACGTCATAAAAATATGGAAAACACGGAGTCAAATGGAAAACACGGAGTCTGACGTCAGAGGAAAATATGGAAAACACGGAGTCATATGGAAAACACGGAGTCTGACGTCATAAAAATATGGAAAACACGGAGTCATATGGAAAACACGGAGTCTGACGTCATAAAAATATGAAAAACACGGAGTCATATGGAAAACACGGAGTCTGACGTCAGAGAAAAATATGGAAAACACGGAGTCATATGGAAAATACGGAGTCCACCATAAAATATGGAAAACACGGAGTCTGACGTCAGAGAAAAATATGGAAAAGAGTAATTAAATAATATATAATTTATGCGAATATAAACAAACGTACGAATTAATATAACGAATTAGAAATTTTCTGCACTAATTCTGGTTATTTCTCTATAAAATGTCGTAAAAATATGGATTATTTATTTTTAAATACAATCAAACAAATAATATTGTTTCTCTTGTCGTGTGACTTGTTCAGTTGTACAATATTTGAAGTGATTTTAATGCGAATTTTGTTCACCTCGTATGGTATGTTGATGCATTGATAAAAATATAGTTTATATACTTAATACTGCTAGAATATTTCACAGTCGATTTACATGTAATATTAACACACAAAATCTTGACACATAAACAGATATGCTGCTGGAAACAGCGTGCAATATTGTTATTTACTAATAAATAGATGCAGCCAGCCAATACAAAAATCCGTGCAGTATATTAATGGCATTAAAAAAGTTTTCAGGTGTCCAAAAAAATACCTGCACTATAGTGATAAGTCTATACCAAGTTAATATCTCTAACATATAAGTTTTAGGTTTTTATACTGAATTAAATATCATATGCAATATCATACGTTGCAATTAATCAAGCCATTGATATTTGAGTGATCAAGATAGG